ATAGTAAAGGCATGTCCTTAAGCCTAAAAACGTACTGGCAGTAAGAAAACTGAGCCCTTTTGAGCCTGGGCTGGGAAACAGTCACTCTAAGGCAGGTTCTTTCCTAGCAGGTGAGACACACGGAGAAGTTACTGTCAGGGAGCCAAGGGGGGGGTGGTTATTTAGGCTTAGCCGTGATGACATTGTAACCTAGGACACTAGACCAGCAACGCCACGCTTGACAGGACGGATGGTTCTTCAGCAGGGAGGTTGATCCTTCATTCAGTAAATAGACTCGCTCTTTAGAAAACTGGGCAGGTGGACAGGCGTGGTGCTCAGTAACCTGGAAGTCTGGCGGCCGTCCAAGAGCCTTCCTCCCCCCACTTCCCAAGTCTCAGTCATTGTCAGGTCCTATGATTGCACTTTACAGAAACCTGTCACATCCATATCCAGAGCTTTTGTGTGAGTAGTTTGTTTTAATCATTCGTGCCCGGAATCTGGCAGTGGCTGTTCACGGACTGCCCTGCCTCCTGCTCGTCCGCTCCTGTGCCGCCTCCACAGGACCGCGAGGAAGCTCTTTCTGAAGCACAGATGTGAGGGTGTCATGACCCTTCAGCAGCTCCCTGTTACCCCTGGGTAAAGTCTGGGCTCCCGCAGGGTCTGAACCCAGCCCAGCCCCCCTGCCCATCATGCCCCTGCCTTTGCCGGAATGCCCCCCCCCACCGCCCCGCATCCACGGAGTCAACGCCTGTTAGGAGGCCCAGACCAAATACATCCCCCCACCCAGATTCCCCCCATAGCCATTCGGCAGAGTTGAATCTGCCCTTCTTAGCAGGCCCTGGAATGGGGGTAGCCTGGACCACGCTACTTTGTACACTGGGTTTCTGGGTCTGATGCCACTCCCACCCCCAGACTAAGCTTCTAGAAAATGGGGATCGTGTTTAGTTCATCTCTGCTCGGCTCAGCTCCTGGGATGGTACTGAACACATGGTGGGAGTTGACTAAGTGTTTGTGACTGGCTGATTATAGGAGACAAACGGGAGGTTGAAGACCCAGTTCCACTGCAGCAGAGTGCTGGGAGAGGGGCACGCCTGGTGTCTTTTATAAGTGTAAGCTCACGCTGTGTTCGGGCTTCAGTCTTGACCTAGGACAACTTGTTACGGAAGCCTTCTCTTCTTGCCCGTTCCCTACCCTTGGCTCTTACCCATCTGAGACATACCACTGACCTGCTTCTGCATTCCCTGATGAACACACTCCCTATTTGTTTACACTTTTAATAACTGTAGCCACAGATACCTTTAAAGCCCCCCCCCCACACACACACACCCAGCCACTTTACCTGACTCTGTGAGTCCCCAGTATCAATTCTTTTTCTGTGGGTCCTTCACCATTGCTAAGTACTTGATCACTTCCTCTGACAGAGACCCAGGTTTTCTGAAGTCAGATGCTATGTTCTTCCTCGTGTATCACCTTGTCCCTCTTCCAGGCTGGTGTGTCCCCACCTACAGCACGCTGCTCACACTTGAACTCCGCAGCAGTAGCCTTCAGTCAGGTGGTTTTCCACTCATTGATTCCTTCTTTCATCAAACTGCTAGATGATGGGATATGTCATTTTACCCAAGGGGACCTCGGTCTAGTAACAAAAATGTACTTGCAACTGATTATAACAGAGAGACAAATTGCCATGGAAGCGCAAAGGGGAACTTGACAAATGAGTCAAGGAAGCCTTCCAGGAGGAGGTGACATTTCAGCTGGGTCTCGAAAAGTAAATGGATGTCCTCAAGAAAGAGAAGAGCATTCAAGGCAGAGAAAACAGCAGAAGTAGAGGCCTGGGGGTGTGAAAAGGCATGACAGGTCTGATAAATTGAGGACTGGTGGGGCTTAAGTTGCTGGACCCTTGAAGATGCAAGGAAGGAGACCCCTCTCTCCAAGGGGTTTTCTTCTGAGATAAGGCATGGTGGGAACTACAGGTGTCCCCCTATAGCTGCTTCCAAGGCCCACTCTGCCCCACAGGTGCTCCATGGCTGAGCTACGTCCCCAGGGCTGTCACCACTCCCACCCACTCCCACCTGCGTAGGCAGTGTCATCCCAGAAGGAAAGAGGCCGGGGAGGAAGCAGATAAGAAAGACAGCTTCTGTTTAGACACAAATATCTTGGTAATCAGCACAGATGGGATGAGAAATACCAAAAAAAGTACATGACAGTTTAGAGAGAATTTGGCTAAATGTTACATATTTTTAACATACCTGTGTGGAGTTTTTGGAACAAGCACTTGAATCTCTCAGAACATGAGTGGGCCTGGGGTCATGCCTCAACCGATTGGTGTTTTTATGTCAGAAATGGACCCTTCCCCGTCCACAAAAGTGTCCTTGTGATTTTTTTTTTCTCTCCCACCAAAATAAGGCACAGGATTTGTCTCTGACGCTGTGTCTCCTTATTTGGACGGCAAGCTGTGTAACATATTTCTACCCAGCGTGAAGCTTCTTGGCAGACTCATGAGGCCACGTTTTGGTGGCTTCAGAGTTATCTTTGGATCTGTCAAAAGTGCTAATGGGCTTTCTGGCCTTCTTTAAGCTCCTCATTTCTATTTTCTTTTTACTTCCATCCTCTCCTAAAAGAAAAATTCATGTAATTCATCAGCAGTTGAGCGTTTTACTGAAATGCTCAGCTGAGGGCGGGCCTTGTATTTGTGGTTGCGAGAATAGCTATGCCATGTCACTGTCTTCAGACAAACGCCACCCTGACATCAGTAGCTCAGCACTCCTCAGTCCACTGGGCAAGAGATAAGTGTGTTGGCTAACTTAAGCTGTTTTTCTTTCTTGTTTTGTTTGGCTTTTCCAGTTTGTGAAGAGGCAGGTTGGTGCAGGGGTTAGAGGGAGAGTTTTGGATTCAGGAGAACTGGTTTTGAAACTTGGCCCTTTTGCTGGGTGACCTCTGGAAGACCACTTAACCTTCCCAAGCCTCAGTTTTCCCATCTGTAAAATAGGGATGATAATGCCTTTCTTGGGGCTTTTGAGAAGATTAGAGAGGACAGAGGTAAAGGGTCCATTGTCTGGCACATAAGGATTATTCAGTAAATGGGATAACAATTTTTAACGGAAACACTTTCCTTTTTTAGGCATACTTTGATCCTTCTTTGTTACTATGCTATGCTTTCTTTTTCAAAATACAACTTTGCCTACTGTTTTTAGTGGTATAAGAGAAGAGCATAGGTTTAGAGACAAAGCCACCCAAGACTAAATAATGCCTTCTCCACTTACTGTCTAACCTTGGTCAAATTACTTCCCTTTCTCTGTGCCTCTATTTAACAGGTAATAACACCTTTTAAAGGAGTGTTTTCAAGGTTAAGTGAAATAATGTATGTAAAGCCTTGTACATTGTAGATCAGCGATCTCAACCTGTGGGTCGTGACCCCTTTGGGGGTCGAATGACCCTTTCACAGGGGTTGCCTAAGACCATCGGAAAACAAAAAGATATTTACATTACGATTCATAACAGATGCAAAATTACAGTTATAGAGTAGAAATGAAAACAATTTTATGGTTGGGGGTCACCACAACATGAGGAACTGTATTAAGGGGTCGTGGCATTAGGAAGGTTGAGAACCGCTGCTGTAGATGTTTAAAAGCGCTTACATGGGACAGTGCAGTGTAAGGGAAAGCGAATGGGTTATGGAGTTGGATCTGAGTCCGGATTCTGATTCCACCAGTTACTGGCACTCTTCCAGACTTACTTTATCTATATATAGGAAAGGATAATACCTCAGTGGATTTTTGTGAAGATTGCATACGATTTTACATGCACAGTACCTGGTACAGTGCCTGGTACTTGATAGGTAGTCAGTGTATGTAGCTATTAATTCATTCACTCACAATTTATAAAGGTTGATGGTTAACCTGGTGCTCCAGTCAAACAATAATAAATCGTAAGATAAGTGCCCGTTCTTATTCCCAACCCATAATATTGTCGAAAAGCACTTTATACTATTTTGCATGTAAAATCCACCTGGTTTACTAGAATTTATGGGCTACAGATCTTTCATCATTATAAATTGCAACCCCTGGCAAGAGCATTCTTCCCTCCCCACCCCCTTTTTTTTCAGAGGATTATATTGTGTGGCATTGAAAGGCTGGAACACTGAAGAAATTAGCATATTCATGTGTATTATTACAGTCAGGTGGGTATAGAAAGGGTTGCAGAAATGAAACACATTACATTTTGCTGAAATCTGAAGAGTACCAATCTATAGTACTAATGAAAGGAGTGAAGCCCAGGCTACAGACAAAAGCTAGTTAAAACACTGCTTTGTCACAATTTGCTGCGGCTTGTCTTTGATTTTTTTGTTTTTCCTTTTGAGTGAAATACCTGGAAATTGTAAATCTTCGAAATTGCTTTAATTCCCGCCGGGTCGTTTTAGAGATTGTAAACTGGGAGGAGGGGGACCCAGCGGTGGTGACAGGGGAGGAGCGTGCCTGGCCTCTGTGGGTGGCATCCGTTGGACAGGAGCCGGCTCTGTGCCGGAAGCCTTGTGGTCCCTGGCATTTCCTTTGGCCTGGATGTTCCGGCACAGTGCGTTGGGGAAGCTCTGGTATCTGGGGTCAGAAGAGCTGAGCCACAGCCCTGGCTCGCTCCATCACTTACTAGACTTTCTGATCTCGGCATATCTCTCTCTCAGCCTTGGTTTCCTCATTTGCGAGGTTGCAGACTCCCTGTTCTTCTCCTTACCTTTGGGAACTCATATAAAAAGCAACACAGCGCTGGGTGTGACCTCCTGGCGTTAACGGGAATCACCACGCAGAGGTGTAATTGCTCAGTCTGCTCCATCTCTAAGGTCTCTGCCTACTTTGCATTTCCTGATTTTATACACGAATGGGACTTGTTCTCCCAGGTAGAGACTAGGACAGCAAAAGAGGAGCGTATACTCTGTGATTATTTTCTGTTTCTCATGCTGTTATTTAGATACTGCTTGTAAAAAGGAGCCATCGAATAAGCCGCACCTCTTTCCTTCTTCTTTCTCCTAGAGAAACCTGACGGAGTATTTTGTGGCTGTCGACGTGAACAACATGTTGCATCTGTACGCCAGCATGCTCCATGAGCGCCGGATCCTCATTGTGTGCAGCAAGCTCAGCACTGTGAGTAGGCAGCCTCAGGATGCACTGTTTCATTATTCTACTTCACTTGAAAGATGTATCTGAAGATTAAAGAAAATTTCAGGAAAGAAATTAGCCACAGTCCCCCCAGGATAGTAACATGTCATTTCCACGAACTCTTTGTGGTCCTTGACAGCACCAGTGCACGTTCCACTTATTCTTAGAGTTTCACAATCAACTGTAAAAGTTTTCCATTTGCTCGTGGGGTATGAACACTTGGCATGCTTCCACATAAGCTTCTAACGTTGGCATTGTTTACATGCCTGTATCATATTCCTTACCATATATACTAAGGTGTCATCATGTTCCAAGTCTTCCTTCTCTTGATGGCCGTTTAGGTCGTTTGTCGTTTAATCCTTTAGTAGATAACACTGCAGTGAACATCCTTTGGTTGCTCTTGACCGTGTGACATAGTTCATACTCTAAGGAGTTGGGCCACCAGGTTAAAGGACGTGATGATAAGCGCTATGGCTTAGGACTGCCAGCTTGCTTTCTAGCAGGCTGTGCGTGTTTACAGTGAGTGTTACCAGCTGTATGTGAGGGCACCACTTTCACTGTGGCCGTGCCAGAACATGTGTGTGTATCTGTGCATATGTGTTTTAACTTTGCTACTAAAATAGGCGTAAAATGCAATTGCAGGTTTGCTTTATTTTTCATTTCTTTGCTTAGAGGTAACTGACCTCTAACCATAGATTTTTTTTCCTGTTTGTATTTTGTTAATGGCTTTTCCCACTTATCTTATAGGACTCTTGAATTTCTTTCTTTTTTTTTTTTTTTTTAGTAAATTGGAATGAGCTTTTTTTTAATATTGTAATAACTTTTGCTATACATATAATATAAAGATTTTTCACATTCTTTTTATTTTAGTTTTTTTAACTTGCTAAGTATAGGAGTTTATATTTTTCCCAATAGTCTACTATGAAAATTCTCAATCATAGAAAGTGGAAATCATTTTACAGTGAGCACCCATATAATTTCATCTAGATTCTGCCATTAGCATTTTATTACTCTTGCTTTGGCGCATATTTATTCATCTGTCCATCCCTCATAGTATCCATTAATCTATTGTATTTTTTGTTGCATTTCAAAGTAAATCATAGGCATCAGTATACGAGTATATCCCCCTTAAATAATTGAGTATGTATATTGTTAACTGAAGTTCAGTGTCTATTACAGTATTTTATTCTCTTGAGGTAAAACTTACATACAGAAATTGGGAGTAGAATGCCTAACAGGTACCTCTGTGTTAGAGAGTAGAAAGACCTTATAGTGGAAATTTGTTAAATGAAGGGCCTGTGTGTTTACCTATAATACACTTAATAATGAAAACTTTGTAAGACTGAGTTTTTTTTATGGTTTTCATCATAACTTCATTGTTTTGTTATTTCTTTGGTATCGTTTGCTTATCAAGAACTCACAATTTCTTGATAGCCTACTAGGCTCCTAGCACATAGTAGGTAATAAAAGCATGGCCCTTGCCCTCAAGGGGAAAACAGCCCATAGTAGACCTTTTGCTTTGTTTTGAATTTTATTTTAAACTGGAAGTGCAGTTCATAACCTCAGGGCCTGAACACCCAGACTGAGTTTCAGAATGAGAGCGCTGCCAACCAGATTTATTGTTGTGTCTTTATGAGGCTAAGTAGATTAAGAGTGCATTTGAGGGCCGGCCGAGTGGCGCGATGGTTAAGAACTCGCTTGGGATGCCAGAGGGCCCCGGTTCGGATCCCACATGTGAGGGCCAGTGACACTGCCCTCCACAGCTAAGATGCTGAACAACAGCTCAACCTGGAGCTGGGCTGCCATGAGTCGCCGGCGACGGCGTGGGCTGCAGTCCCTGTGGCAGTGGATTGCCATGGGCTACCGTGTGTAGCCAGCAGCCAGCGTGAGCGGCCAGCAGCCGCAGTGAGCGGCCATCCAGAAGCCGGCGACTGATCTGCCTCTCCAGAGAAGAGCGCAATGATGGTGCCAACTTGGGCCAGTGAAGCAACGTCCTCCACAACTAGATTGAAGAACAAAACGACAGCAACTTGCCTGTTCCCCTTTCCCCAATTCCCCAGCACTGTTCCCATCCCCCCAATTCCCCAATAAAAATCTTAAAAAAAAAAAAAAAAAAAAGAGTGCATTTGAAAAAGTCTAGTGCATAACTAGGTGCTGTTGCTTTGGAGCATTAAACTTGAGTAGAACAAAAATAGGACATTCTATCAGTAGAATTAAATTTCCTGTAATAATATAATCAGGATATTTTTGAGCCCTTAATATGTGCCAAGCACTGAGCTAAGCAGTTTGCATCTATGAACTCGTTTAATCCTTATTATAACAGTTTGTAGTAGGTTCTGTTATAGCTTTCTTCTTACAGATGAAGAAGAATGTACCTTCTGTGTGATTTTGTTTAGATAAATGTAATAGATTTAACAAGTTATTTCTGCTCCTTCCCAACACTAAAATGAAATAAAGGAATAAATCAATAAGCACAAAGAGCAGATGCAGCAGAAATATTTAAAATAGTAAAAAGAATACTATTAATGTTATGTCAACATTTGAAAACTAAGGTGAAATAGAAAAATATAATTTACTAAAATCGAATCAAGAAGAAGTAGAAAAATTGAATAGGTCATTTAATTTGTAGATGTTGAGTCAATACATAAAATTTTTTTCCAAAACACTCAGCCCAGATGATATTACAAGTATGTCTTATCAAACATCACAAGGAACAGATCATTTCAATTTAGACAAGCTCCTTAATGGTCTAGAGAAAAAGAAGGAATATACTTCAGCATTTCTTGTGACACTTAATATGACCTTGGCATTCAACCACATAAAGAGACACTGCAAGAAAGGAAATATATCAGCCAATCTTACATAGTACCAAATGTATACAAATATAATTCATAATAACTAAGTTGGGTTTATTCCAGAAATATTGGTAATAATAGAAAACCTATTAATATAACTTACCCCATGAATATAAAGGGAAAATTCATATGTCACCAACAGACAGAGGTAAAGCATGACCATGTTCATGAATAGGAAGACTCAGTATGTTGAAGACATCATTTCACTCCAAAATGATCTGTAGATTCCGTACAATTCCATTCAAAATCCTAGTAGGATGTTCCATTGTACTTGGCAAATGGACTCTAAAATTAATACAGAAAGGCTGAACATATTGCCAAGACATACTTGAAGAAAAAGAATGGGCTACGGAAGCTTGCTTTCCCAGATATCAAAACTTTTTATAGAGCTGTAGTAATTAAGACATTAGAAATGGCACAGGGATATACAAATAGACTGTTGGAACAGAATAGAGATTGGATTGTAGAAACAGACCACATGTATACGGGCTCTTTATATATACAACAGAGGTGGCATTGTAAAACCTGGGGGAATGGATAAATTCTTCAATAATTGATTATCATGGGGAAGAACAGGAAGACAATTCCAAATGAATTCAGGACTTAAATGTGAAAGGCAAAATTTAAAAACTTTTAAAAGACAAAACAGGAGAATAATCACTGATCTTGGAATAGAGAAGGACTTAATTCACCCAAAATATACATTATATAAAGGAAAAAATTAAAACTCTGAACTTTTGTTCATTAAAAGATACCATGCAGAGAATGGAAGGACAGATTTCAAGCTGGGGTAAAATATTCGCCATATATAAAACTAACAGGATTAACATCTGGAATATGTAAATAACTCCTACAGCTAAAAAGCAGAAGACAAATCTATCATTGGCAAAAAGCGTGGATAGGCATGTCACAGAAGAAACTCAAGTGGCTAGTAAATATATGGAAAGGTGCTCAACCACAGTAGCAAGCATAGGAAAGCAAATTAAAACTACAGTGATTAAAACAGTAGGTTTGTGGGCCAGCCGAGTGGCGCGATGGTTAAGAACTGGCTTGGGATGCCAGAGGGCCCCGGTTCAGATCCCACATATGAGGGCCAGTGACACTGCCCTCCACAGCTAAGATGCTGAACAACAGCTCAACCTGGAGCTGGGCTGCCGTGAGTCGCCGGTGACGGCGTAGGCTGCAGCCCCTGTGGCAGTGGGTTGCCATGGGCTACCATATGTAGCCAGCAGCCAGCGTGAGCGGCCAGCAGCCGCAGTGAGCGGCCGTCCAGAAGCCAGCGACTGATCTGCCTTGCCCGGGAAGAGCACAATGATGGTGCCAACTTGGGCCAGTGAAGCAACGTCCTCCACAACTAGACTGAAGAACAAAAGGACAGCAACTTGTCTGTTCCCATCCCCCCAATTCCCCAATAAAAATCTTTAAAAAAAAAAAACACAGTAGGTTTGCAAAAATTAGATGTCCGATAGAGCCAAGTATATTATATTGGAGATGTATTGGAGAATTTTATGTACTACTCTTTGAATATTGGCATAAAACTATTTGCATGTGCCCAACACTCAGCAATTCCACCTGTGGGTGGAATTGTGTGTGTGTGTGTGTGTGTGTGTGTGTGTGTGTGTGTGTGTGTATACACGTGTGTACATACACGTACCTACCACACTTCTTGGTCATGTGTAGTGGGCTACATGTACAAGCAAGTTCATAGTAGCATTTGTTTTTGTTTTTTAAACCTGCAAAGAGCCCACATGACCATCAGCAGAGAACTGCTAAACCGTGATGTAGTGATACAGTGGAATACTGTATCAGTGAAAGTGAACTACACTATTGGGCCTCAAATACAGAATTCCGAGTGAAAGACACAAGCTATGGAATAATACACAGTATGATTTCATTCATATAAAGTTCAAGTAAGAAAAACAAAGTGGCCTATTATTTAAGCACGTATACAAACTACAAGGGGAAAAATAGAAATGATTAACACAAATTTTAAGCAGTAGTTCCGACAAAGGGAGTGAAAAGAGTATATTTGGGAAGAGGCAAACGGGATATCAAAAGTTGTTTTCTGTCTTGAGCGAGGTTAGGGATCAGCAAACTTTTCTGTAAAGGATCCAGTAGTAAATAGGCTCT